TGTGGCTGGGGTTGAAGACACAAGGTTACAGCCCAGCCCCTAGCCCCCGGCAATGAGCCCTTCACTCTTCATCAATATAGAGATGAGGTCTGAAGGGACCTCATAAGAGGGGCTACACTGACTCTGACCCGTAGCTTCCAGTACTACTTTCTTACACTCAACTCACTCATCCTGTAATGCCCACTTTACCATGTCAGCTGCACCCCTCTGCCCGCATTTATGACTGCTGCTTGCATATGGTCCTTGTCTTCTATTGATTTTTGAGAAATTATGCTGTGGGAGATACGATTTCCCTATAAACAATCGCTAGTCACTACCCTTGATATTGAACAAATGTCTCGGTGAGTCGTTTTAGGAGACCCGGTTAGAGTACTCAGCTGATGGAGGGAGAGTGCTCACTTACCTTGATTGGCACATACCCATGGCTCACGTCATTTGGATGGCATGGGATTGGGAGAGGGGCTGTAACTTCTGTTTTGAGAAGCTGAAAGTAGAAGGTACACAGTGAGAGGTATAGTGAGAGAGGCGTCTTCTGCTTCCTTCCTGACCAATGAAATGCTTCCAAAGTGAGTTTCCAAAACTCCAGTGAGCTCACCTCCCACAGCCTCCATCAGGGACTGACCAACCCATCCTCCTCTCCTGCAGCACCACCATCTCATTATAAAGCTGTGAACACTGAGATTCAGAGCGAAACACAGAGTTCCCAGAACAGCCAGTCATACCACCATGGTATGGCTCTATGGCTCTGTTGAAGCGTTTCTCTTCCAACTCAGCAAAAACCAAACTCTGTGCCTTTGTTGGTCTGCTAGGGTTGCCATAACAATGGACCATAGACTGGGTGACTGAATCAACAGAAATTTATTTTCTCACCATTTTCAAAGCTAGAAATCCTAAATCAAGGTGTTGGCAGGGTTGGTTCCTCCCGGTCTCTCTCCTTAGCTTATAGATGGCTACCTGCTTGCTGTGTCCTCACATGGCCTTTCCTGTGTGTGTGTCTGTCCTAATTTCCTCTTCTTATAAGGATAAGAGCCATATTGGATTAGGGTCCACCTTAATGACCTCATTTCACCTTAATTCATTCTTTAAAGACCCCATCTATGGCTGGTGTGGCTCCACTGGTTGAGGGTCATCCCATGCCCAAAAAGTCACTGGTTCAATTCCCACACAGAACACACCCCCAGGTTGTGGGCTTGATCCCCAGTGTGGGG